AATTCAGTCAAAACCGGGTCAAACCCAAGTTTTACAACTGATTTTTCCAACAGCTATGCCCCGACTAATTCGTTGGTCGACTTGGGTGGCACAACTGACAGTGGTGGCTGAGTCTCCCAACAAGGGTTTCTGTATCACTCAAATTTAAGCAATATCAAACTGATTATCAGTTGAGTCAACCCCTATTGGTTATTTATTTTAATATATATGTGTTTTTAGTTGATACTTTGTAGATTTGGATAAGTTCTATTTTACTTTTTTTCTTCAATGATTATACTTTATCTATTTTTTTATTTTAAACCCATGCGGTCCCATATTTAAGTCGATCATTCTTGGATTTTTGTTGTTGACCCTCGATTATTTCGGAAAGTAAATTGCGAGATTTACTTAGGTGTGATTCTCCCATTTTGGGCTTAAGGTTGTGTATTTGTAAACTTGTTATGTTTTGTTGATTAATACAAGAGGTGTTCTGTCGATTTTGGAAAAAAAAATAAAAAAAAATCGCCAGATGTGTTTAGGTGGAGTCGAGCTCAAGCCGTTAATGGCTCAGCAGGGTAATTATGAGCATGATTGGATACAAAAATTTCTTAAAAAAATCTAAGAGCATGATTGGATATAAAATTTTTTCAAAAAAATCCAAATATTTTTAACTCAACCGCTTTTTTTAACTCAACTTTAACTCAACCTCACTATCATCAATATTATCAATATAATTAAATAATATCAATCAATCATTCTTACACAAAACATCACCTTAATTCACTATTCATCCACTCACATAATTTTAACTAACCATCACTTCAAATCTTCTCTTTCCTACTTTACATCAAATCAACTTTAATCATTTTATTTTAAATATTATTTTAATATATCCACTAACAATTAATCATACTAACTTTTTCAAAACTAACCAAACTAAACAAAAAAATCCAAACAAAACCAAAATTTTTTATATCCAATCATCCTCTAAATATTTTTAACTCAACCATTTTTTTAACTCAACTTTAATTCAACTTCATTATCATCAATATTATCAATATAATTAAATAATATCAATAAATCATTCTTACACACCACACCACCTTAATTCATTATTCATTCACTCACATAATTTTAACTAACAATCACTTCGAATCTTCTCCATCCTACTTTACATCAAATCAACTTTAATCATTTTATTTTAAATATTGTTTTAATATATACACTAGCAATTAATCATACCAACTTTTTCAAAACTAATCAAACCAAACAAAAAAATCCAAACAAAACCAAAATTTTTTATATCCAGTCATCCTCTAAAGGAGCAAGAAATCAAGTTCGAGCTTGAGCCTTAACGTCGATTTTGAACTTTAGTGAGCCGAATTATAAAAAAATTATATAAATATTATCTTTATCAAGTTTAAACGAGCCGAGCAACCAAACAAGCTTTAAATAAGCTCGAATTCGACTCGTTAAGGCCTTGAGCTCGAGCTATTAAGTCGAGTCGAATCGAGTCGAGCCAAACTCATTTAATTTAGCAGCACACGTGTCCTAAGTTCAACCAGATAATGGACAAGATGGATTCATCGTTTTACTTACTCCTTATTCTCGATATTCTGTCCACCCAATTATTCTCGATATTCTGGTTCGGAATATTTGGTTCAAGTTTGCATTTTATGCGAGTTGGAATCGACCAATTGAATTCGGACTGAACTAACAAATAATAAAAATAGTATAAAATCAATTTTAAAATTTGTTGTATACATAAACCTGAAGCGATCTAGGTAAAACCACGAGCCGATTCAAAATTCGTGGCGCGATGGTTTTTTTTTTTTT